CTTGGATACAATTATGGAGGCTGAGCTCGTACCTCGCTAGGTCTGGAATCCCTTTGGGATGTCATTCCACCTATCAGCCTATCTTCGATGGCTTCAAGGAATCCATTCATGTGGAGAGACACACCCCCCCATGCCCCCCTTCCCTAGGGGGGTCTAGTAATACTGAGTACGTACAGCTGCGGCTGTCCTCGCTGTACTTACATCATAAAGCTAGAGTTCCATTCGTATGGCCTCATGATGCTCATTCGTCCTATACTCATTCATGGAATGGAAACATCCGGAATTGAACGGTAGACTTAGACTACCAGACTCTAAGCCTCCTCACGTACGTTTAGAGTCTTACGAACTACCGCCTCGGTACCACTCCGAATAGTCTTCATGATTCTCATTCATCCTATTCTCATTCTGGATGATGTTGACATCCGGCTACCCCTATCTCACTCTCGTTCGATGGGAGGTTGGAGGTGAAACCTCCCACCAGCCGGGCGGGAGCCCTAGGCTAGGGCTAGGGCGTCCCTGGGCTGGTACGGGGGGTGGTAGTCGTGCCACATAATAGTACAGAGTAATGATAAAGTGTAGTTCAAAGGTAGAATACTGGTTTTGGGTTCCAGTGGCTGTAGGTTCGATTCCTATCACTCATAGTGTTCTATGGCTATTCCACTCCTATGATGTCCTAGGCTGTTACTTTGATGACCTAGGCCTCAAGAAAAAGCTTGATGACCAGGGAATTGGCCGATCTTTTGGTCGTAATGACCTTGTGGGATCTTATCTTCCTATTGGTAGTTGGTCTTGTAATGTCTTTCATCCTCTTCCTGTCTGGTCTTAACTTTTGGATTCTTTTAGAATATTATGATTATATGTATCGTGTGAGGGAAAAGGTCACCTGGTGGACCCTTAAATCACCAGTGAGGGACAAGATACCAAGACCCGTTGGAGTAACTCTTGTTGGTATTTACATGATACCGGTTAAGCCTGATAAGGCCAGTATACTTGAAATGGATGTCATCATTCGCCTTCAGCTCACCCACTCGCTCACACGCTCGTGCCTCATTCGGCTCCGCCTCATCATTAAAGAAAGACATGTTTAAACATCTTGGATAACTTTAGTTTATTCTTTCATGACTCACTAGCTCGTCATCAGCTCCAGCAAGAGCTGCTAGAGCTCCTCATTCATTCCATTTCATTCCATGAATCATCACCAACTCACCGTGTGACCTATCGCCCCTTACCAGCCTAGGAGGACCGGAGCTCCTCCGGCCGACGCCCGGCTGGTGGGATTTTCATCCCACCAAATCCCAGGACGAGTTGGACGAGTCCTAGGGGCAACAAGATGTTTAAAGATGACATAGTGAAGCAGGATGAGTTGTATAACAACGAAGACTTGCTGAGTGTAACCGAGTATTCTATTCGTAGTACGAGAAACGTACGTGAGGAGGCTTCTCGTACGATTGTTCCTTTGGTTTCCATAACATCAATTAGAGTCCACATGAATGAAGTATAGGACGAATGACCGTAGGTCAATGAGGCCATACGAATGGAGCTATGGCTTTATGATGATAGGTCATCGAGGATGTCCGCAGATGACCGTAGT